TGTGTGTGTCTGTGTGTGTGTGTGTGTGTGTGTGCGTGTCTGTCTGTGTGTGTGTCTCTGTGTGTGTGTGTATGTGTCTCTGTGTCTGTGTGTGTGTGTGTTGTCAGACTCTGTTCCAGCCTCAGCGGGGTGTGTATGAGCAGCTGACTAAAGACTGTGTGGCACAAGGCTGTTGTGTCGACCTCTTCCTGTTTCCCAACCAGTTTGTGGATATAGCCACCATGGGCGATGTGCCGTCACACACCAGCGGCTCCATCTACAAGTACAGCAACTTCCAGGTACACCATAACATGCACATAATGAAACACAGGTGCTGTGAACATTGTTCAAAATAAAGATGAACTCTTTTGTATTACTGCCCTCTTGTGGTCAGACCTCGAACCTTTATTTTTCTCTTTTGAGGTGGAGGTAAATGGTCCGCAGTTTGTCAGTGACCTCAGGAGAGATGTGGAGAAGTCCATCGGATTCGACGCCATCATGCGCGTCCGTACCGGCACAGGTAATAACAAACTGAGAGAAGTACATGAACAATGTGTAAAGTTAATCATACTATATATGTAAATCTGTGGTCAGATTTGATTTGATTTTAATCTTTTTGATAGAAATTAATACTTTTATTTAACAAGGATGCATTGAATTGGCATTGGCACCAAATTTTCCCCAATAAATAGAAATGGCCAAATTTTCTCCCTCATTATTTGAACTTCTTGAACTGTTCCGCTGCCCTCAATTATTTAGCGCTCTGTTTGTTTTTAGGTTGACAAAGGTTTAAAAGTGACATTTTTAGAGAGCAAGGTAAGAGGGAAGTAGCAAAACATTTAATATTCGACCACTGTTTTAAGATAGAAATGTTAAATGACCGACAGTAATATCCAGTGATGCAAACTTCTTGACTTTTTTCTCGAATATGGCCATTTTTAACTGGATATATTGTATCATTTATGTGCTTCATGTAGGCTAATTCCTAACTGAATGTGACAAGACAAGAAACATTTTGTGTTTTCAACATGTTAGGCATACAAATAAAAGTGCATGTGTGCATATTTTAAAATATTACTTGCAAATAGTTAAAAATGTTTACTTCCAAACTAGAATTAGACTAGTAAGGGATTTTACAAGACTGCATCTTACAAATGGTTGTTGAAGGCAAAAATACATGAAATGCACATATCTGTGAGAAAGTGATGTGCTCGAGCAAAACTGGCACTGTTTTTGGGATCAAGAACCCCGAAATTTGTAAAAAAAAAAAAAGTATTGGATGCCTGAAAATGTCTGTTTTTAATGAATGGCTGTTTGATCAACTAAATGAAGCCTTGAGCATAAGAAACGTCTTTCAAAAACATTAAGAAACGTTTGAGTGGTAATGTATGTATGGCATACGCTTTTCCTAACATCTGCATGATCCTCGTCATTCAAGGCTTCAGGGCAACAGATTTCTTTGGTGCCATATACATGAACAACACTACAGATGTGGAAATGGCAGCAGTGGACTGTGACAAAGCCGTGACGGTCGAGTTTAAACATGACGACACACTCAGCGAGGAGTCTGGAGCTGTGATGCAGGTCAGGCTTCACGTATGACACTGAGCCCTGAGACGATCACAAGACTGGCAAAAATACAAAAAAACAGTCATTGGGAATACTTAATGCAGCAAAACTGGTCAAGACACTCTTGACAGTCAAAATGTGTTTTGTTGCAAAACTGTTTTGCATCATCAATAACAATGTTTGATGCATAGAATTGTTCAAGTGCATTTGAATCCTCATCGAGCCGTTTTGATGTGATGCTCTTTGAATTAACTTGCTGTCAAGAGCAACACAAGTGAGTTTGCTTCCTCTGGTTTCCCAGTGTGCTCTGCTCTACACCACCATCGGTGGACAGAGGAGGCTGCGGATTCACAACCTCAGTCTGAACTGCAGCTCTCAGCTGTCTGAACTCTACAAAAGCTGCGAGACAGACGCCCTCATCAACTTCTTCGCCAAGTCAGGTGACCGCCTTACCAACTCTTACAGGAATGTACATGAAAACGTCATGCAGTTGTTACAGATTTACTCCAAGCTGTAACATAATGCTAGATTTTAAAATGTACCAATCTGTAAAACACTTGCTTTCTAGTAGTATTTTTTCGTTCTGACACTATCTGATTATTTGTTTATTTTTTATACTGGTTTTATAGTGAAACAAAGTGTACAGTCTCTTCCAGTTATGTGCTTATTTTAATTTCATTTTTTTTTTTATATATATTTTTTTTATTTATCTTTATTTTTTTCTCAGTTTTCTAATCACCTAATATTTACATTTTATTTTATTTCACCTTTTTAATTTTTTTTTTAGTTAACAATAACAACACAGCTGTGCAGAAACAATTTTCTTGTCATTTTTATAAATTTATTACCTTTTATTTTTAGACTTTTTTTTTCTTCTACACCGTTTCCCTTATTCATATTTTAATTATATGAAATAGATTCATGCTTTCTGGAAGTATTTTTCCTTTTTTTGCCACCAAAAATTCTTCACAGGCACGTTTGTTTATATATATATATATAATTTATTTATTATTAATGTATTAGTTATTTATCTATTTCTTAATTATTTATTTATTCATTTGTTTATTAATTAATTATTTATTTATTTATTTATTTATTCATTTATTATTTATTTATTTATACAGATTTGTTAGTTTTTATAAAATAGTCAGATTTGTTTTATAGTGGAACAAAGGATACTCCAAGGATAATGCATTTAAAAATGTATCATGAGCTCATGGCTTACAGTCATTGATTGTGGTGGATGCTGTTATCCTGCAGCGTATCGGGCCATGCTCACCCAGCCACTGAAGACAGTGAGGGAAATCCTGGTTAACCAGATGGCTCACATGCTGGCCTGCTACAGGAAGAGCTGCGCCAGTCCCTCAGCTGCCAGCCAGG